ACAACTCCGATTCGCACGAAACTTGGACCAAAATTCTCCTCATTGAATTCTCTTCGTCCCGGTATGGCTTGGTCGGATTTTTTGGGTTGGATGGCTCGGATGGCCCGTCTCTTCTTCTCGACAAGTTGGACCTAAACAACACCAAAACAAAAGAGAAAACGCGCAGAAATACGAAAGCACTATACAATAACAAAAATACACAAAACACGATAAAATGGACCGGTCGACACTAAAACAAACCTAAAAAGACTCGACTAAGGCACATAAAACACATAAAAATAAGCACAAAAACACAATAAACACTTGCATCGGGTCGAGGGCACGCGGACTGCCGGTGCCCCAACTCGCCACATGAAAAACACCGTAGGCCCCCCGATTGCCGACCCCCCGGCACATTGCCCGGCGAAGCCGTCGCGGGTCCCAGCGGAGCAACCTGCTGTCTGCTGGAAGTAGTACCAGCCCCTCCTGTCGAGTTGCTTGGTCCTGCCGACAAGCGGCCTCCAACCGAAGTTGCCCCGGAATTATTCCCCAGTCGTGGCCCAGAAAAAATGGCAGCCGAAGCACGTCTCGCGAGCTGCTGCTCGACCAACACCGCTCTTTGATGTGCATCTGAAATCGACTCAGGTATGAAGAGATTAAGTGTATCTTGAATCGGAACTCGTAAACCACCAATATATCTGGATATTATCTGATCATTTGTCTCCCGAACATCAACTCGTGTAAGGAGATTATAAAACTCTTCGGTATATTCGTCAACCGACCGATACCCTTGCCGAAGGTTTTGTAGCTTTTGATAAAGAGTACGGAAATAATTGTACGGCAAAAATTCTTTTTCCATGTGCTTTCGGAATTTAGTCCAGGTCTGAATTTTGGACTTACCCATGCGATGTCGAGACCCTTTGAGTTGTAGCCACCAAGCCGCTGCACGACCCCGAAGGCGGGTCGCCACGAGCCCCACCTTCTTGTCCTCCGGTACGTCTTTGAATTCAAGCACGGCTTCGACCGCCGCAATCCAGTCGAGAAACTCAGCTACATCGAGTCCTCCCGTAAACTCCAGAATCTCGACCCGAAAGGATCCGTCCCATCGCCGGTCACCATGCACGACGTCATGTTCCTGAAGATTTGGTACCCTAAACGGGTTAAACTCCTCCTCCGTGGCGTCGGAATCGCCGTCCTCCTCCCACCGCGGCATCCGACCACCACCATCTCCAGCGCGACCGCGACCCCCGCGGCCCGGACGCATCCCGCCGCGACCGCCGGCTCGGCCCTCGAGTCCGTCGCGGTTCGTTTGCACACGTTCCAACACCGTCTGGAGAGTCAGACGAATGGCCTCCATGCCCGCCGTAAGGTCCGCCAATTCGTGACCCATCGCTTGAAATTGCCGGCCGAAACCCTCGGCCTGGCGGTTCAAGGATTCGATTGCGGCATCACGCCGATCGTCGGTTGTGTCGGTCCTCTTTGGCGGCATCTCGGAATCGTACTGGACTCTGGATACCAGCTGATGCAGACAGAAGCGTAAACGAAAGGATAAACGAGTATAAAACTCAAGACAATATAATTTTTATTCAATAATCACCAACTTTCTCATATGACTTACATTCATATATATGATAATCTTCTTGTACCTCTTGATGTGCCTAATAAATATACTTAGTTTTTCAAGACAAACTATATTTGAATGTCTCTTTGATTTTCAAGCTTAGTCTAGATTTCATCACTTAGTCAAAATAATAATAATAGTAATAATAATAATAATAATAATACTAAAGGTCACAAATCTCATGCAAGACTCATGCACGATTTCGACGTCGATCGTATTTGTCCATGAACGCCAAAGCGATCTCCTCGCCATCAGACGGATGTTTATATATTATGATCTTTCGTCACATTAAATAATAATATAGTGACCAATTAATCGTAAGCGTCATATTAATTACCTGCAACTATGACGACTCGTTTAGTCACATAGAACTTCGTCATGTTTCGTATGAAATGTGACGAATTTTTGTGGATTATAATGTTTTGTCATAGTAACTTATAATATAGTGACGAATTAATCATAAGCGTCATTTGAAATACCTCAACTTGTGACGACACTGATTTGTCACATGGAACTTCATCATTTTCTCTATAAATTGGGACGAATGTTTATATATTATAATGCTTCGTCACATTAAATAATAATATAGTGACAAATTAATCGTAAGCGTCATATTAAATATCTACAACAATGACGACTCATTTGGTCACATGGAACTTCGTAATTTTTCTTATGAAATGAGACGAATTTTATGTATTACAATGTTTCGTCACATTAAATAATAATATCGTGACGAATTAATCGAAAGCGTCATTTTAAATACCTACAACATTGACGACTATTTTCGTCATTTTTTGTATGAAATGTGACGATTTTTCATGTATTATAATGTATCGTCAAATTAAATAATCAAATAGTGACGATTTAGTCGTAATCGTCATTGTAAATACGTACAACAGTGACAAACTTTTTTTGTCACATGGAATTTCGTCATAAATTGTATAAATGTGACGATTTTCTATTTGTAAGATGACGTTTGAGATAAATCGTCATAAAAAGTTAGATTATGTGACGAAAAAACCATTCTTCAATGACGAATGGAACAGTTGTCACCGTAGTCAATGGTATAATGACGACTTTTCAAAGTCGTCACTGAAAGGCCATATATGGTGACGATTATTTATTCGTCACACGAAATTCGTCACTTTTTCACAGATTTCTTGTAGTGATATATTTTATCGCCCCATCGTGTTTTGAAGGAAAATGGTACACGTTTAAGAAAATGTCGAGGAAAAATTAGGGTAAATGAGGGCAAGTACGAAAATATAATCAACGTCTCCGGAAAGGCTTTTTTTCGAACACAACACCATTATTTGATGTGGATAACATATATTTATCGTCCCATCATGTTTTGAAGCAAAATGGTACACGTTTAAGAAAGTCGAGGAAAAATTAGGGTAAATAAGGGAAAGTACGAAAATGTAAGCAACGTCTCCAAAAAGACTTGTTTTCGAACACGACACCATTATTTGACGTGGATAACATATATTTATTGCCCCATCGTATTT